CAGAAATCATTTTTGGCCATCATTAACATCAGTGTTGGGCAGTAACTAGTAACTAGTTACAGTAATAATATTACTTTTTGCAGTAACTAGTAGTGTAGCTAATTACTAATAAGATTACAGTTACCATCCATAAAACACATTTATTTTCATAATTTTCACGACTCGCACAGGCACATGAAGTCACAAGTGCATCAGGAAAGCTTGGAATATGGTGTTCTGAACACAGATGTGTAAGTTGTGGCATTGCTTTACTCTGGCATTACACGGCTTACCCACCCACATCCCTCTGACCCCGATATAAATTATATTACTATAATTAAAAATCTTATGAACTTTTGTGATTTCTTTTGATAAAATACTTCATGAAATGTAATCATATATGGGTAACTGAGAAATTATAGCTACAATTAGCTTCAAGCTACACATGACAATTAATACATCACTTTTACTTAAAAGTCACTATCAATCACCATTGGTGTTTGTAATAACTTCTGACTGCGATCCAGTGTCAAATGATAGGTCAGAAATAAATATATTGTTAGAAACATTTTAGAAGAATTTTATGGGGAAGATACACAATTACAACTTCTGTGGGGCATGAGTTAAAAGTAATGTAACTAGTAGTGTAACTAATTACTGTTGGCAGAAAGTAACAAGTAATAATATAGTTACTAATAACTAGTAACGAGTAATACAGGTGCATCTCAATAAATTAGAATGTCGTGGAAAAGTTCATTTGTTAGAAACATTCAAACCGCATTTTGTTTAGGATAACAGTATTTCTAACATTTTAGCAGCATTTATTAAAAGCATAAAGAGTGTTTGGAAAGCTTGAACATGATTTCTTAGTAGCAGAAGAGCATTCGGAAAGATCTTAATGCATTTCTGGAGCTCATAAGCGCGTTTGGAATGTTCAAACTGCGATATCTGTGCAAGATAATTAAGCTACTTTTGGAACGTCCGCATATATTTTTTTTGTATCGTGGCATTTAAAAGATGTAACGTTAACGGATGATGCCCTAAATGAGCGTCCGAACATTCTACACAATTTGGGGGTGAATTTAGAACGTTCGAGAGATTTTGGCCATCATAAACGCTTTTGAAACGTTCGACAGAGCTGTCTAAGTATTTACTCATTAGGTTTTGAGGTAAAGCCAATGTGTCAGACACCCAGATGTTGGTTTAATGCAAACCCCAGGCGACGACATGTAAAACTGTTCACTCACAGCTCGCACACAATGTCAACAATGCACTACTCACCCAAAATATAATGTTAAATCCAAATATAAAGTATTTGATGCAACAACCCACTTCGTGCACGCTGAAGTGTTTTCCTGACATACTTGCGTTTGATAAAACAGATTATTATTAATGATGGAGAAAAAAAAATCGCCTACAGTTACCAACTGGAGAACTCGCTTCTTCCTTTTACACCATATTTATGACATTTCTACAGACTGGCCGGCAATGCCACACTCGGCTATTTCGCCGAAATGAGTAGTTTGCTTCTTAGAAAAAAACTAAATAATTATTGATAATAAAAAAAAGTATAATAATTCCAGAGAATAACGGGACGAACAGTCCTCTGCAAATAAAGATTCGAGAGTCACTTCCGGCTAAATGAATTATGTCATAACGTTTTTTCAAAATAAAGGTTCCATAATTGGAGCTAATTTAGAAAGAAAGAGCATCAACATGTGGGCTTGATAATTATATAACTGATCAAATATTTATAATTATAATAAGATTTATGTCTATTATTATCTTGAGAATGATTATGAAATATGAAAAAGTACAATATGCACGTGTAAATACATTGTGACACAGTGAAATCATCTCAAATACATTGTGCAACTTTATTTATTATTTATGCTTTTAAATTGTGTAATGAGAAATTTCAAAGTCTAATTCTCAGTTGTAGCAGTATCATTTCTGAAAAAACTTTAGACGCAAAATCAGATGGATTTCTCGTTAAAAAACATCTATGTATGGTAATTTTGCAAGGAAAAGATGATCTTCTGTTCTGAGGTGCATGTGTTTGTATTATCACGCTCTGGACTGTCCCTTTAACATATAATATGAACATTCAACTAATCACAATTTAACTTCCACTGTGGAGCAGCAGTTTACAATACCACACCCATAGGACAAAGCAAGGGCTGTAATTTCAAAATAAGAGTTACCAAATCCTAAAACACTATTGAGAAATTAGTCAGTAACATTAGTAATTATATGCATAGCAAAACTGTGAACAACTGGATTGCATTAAGCTCAGCAGATATGTAAACAATATTGCTTTTTTTAATAACTAAAGTCCCAATTTGTGGATCATAAAAACCTGTGCTTAATAATAAAACTCAGAAATGCTTTCCTTTCAAATCTTCTTAAACCACTGGTACTTTGATGTGGATGGATTTCACATTGAATAATGGTTTTACAAATTCACACTGATCTAAAAAGGTACTTGAAGAGCTTTGCTTTCTTCAATTTGAATTTTAGACAGATCAAAGGTTCACATGAATTGCACATTTATTTCACTCGTGTCATGTCATGCAGTGAAACCATTCGTTTGCAGAGACACTAAATGAAACGGGTTAGCTTAAGGTTTAGTGTTGTGCATTGGTTAATATAGGAAGCTTATTTCGGGATAGTGTCTTGGAATATCAGACAGCTGAATGTGCTGTCTAGACAGAGGTTGTATCTAATGTGTGTGTGTGTGTCCTTGTGTAAAAGTGAAGCACGCTGTAATAACCCCAAGGGCAGTGGAAATCCAAGGCCTTGTGACTGTTCCGCATTAAGGTCATCCACATTCACCTCCATGAGTCAGCAAATCCCTGCAGTTATCATACAGTTATTATACTGAGCACATCATAGATCATCTCCATCACAAAGCTCAATGCATGCAGTCAATACTCCGTCTTATGATCTATATATAATCATTATATGTAGTTCACAGTGCTGATCTATATCTCCACACTACCATAGCAACACTTTATAAGCACCCTGTATGAACAAGATAAATGATAAGTAAATAATTCTATCTTATACAAATCAATGGACAGTGCACATTTTAAAATATTTTGTAAGTGAATTTCTATACATTAATATCGGTTACACTGTTACACAGAATTATTCAATGCTGTTTGATCATTTTTAATATTCAGTAAAAATCCAGTTAAATTCAATTTCACTACAAATATTTAAATAAAAATCTCTTTGACATTTTTTCCATTGTTGCAGACAGTGCTGATTCTATTGAGCAAATTGTAAAACACATGTAAAATATGTATTCCTTGAAGTGTTCACAGTAATGATTTTTTTTCAATGAAACCTTATTTGAAAAAGTGACTACAATTTCTTAATATATAAACTTTTAAAACGTTTAGGCACATAAATGATTGCTTCAGCACTTCTGATGACAACGCTGTCTGCAAACTTTTTACTAGGTGTGTTAATTAAAATATTTAACCATCATTAATTTTATAATTCCAGTTTCAAGAACTGTAAAAACGAATTAAAATGAAATGTCAAGTTTATATGTTGTACATCATTTGCTGAGGGCCCCTCGTGGACTTTGTCCCCTTTGTTTAAGAACCACAGATGTTAACTTTTTTCTTTTTTTTTATATATATTTTTTTATACCTTTTACATTTTATAAAAAAGTAATAACATGCTAAGCTAGTTACTAATTCTATTAGATAAAAAGTAATAACATGTTAAGCTATTACACTCTAAAAAATGCTGGGTTGAATACAACCCAGTGCTGGGTATTTGGCATATAAACATTAGTGTCTGTTACACTGTTTAGTATAATAAAATTGCATAACATAGAATTGTTCTATGCTGTTTGTATATTTTTAATATTCTAACATAAGTAAAAATCCAGTTATTCGATTTCACTACAAATATTTAAATAAATGAAAATCTGTCCTTAATATCTGTCCACCACTGGCTCTGCACCCATTTACCTAAATTCATTACTTTAGAGTTCTGTGCCCTCTAGAAGCTTGCGTTCTGCAAGTGAACGGCGTATTATTGTGCCATCTCAAAGAGGCACAAAATCACTTTCACTGACTTTTTCATTAACTGTTCCCTCCTGGTGGAATGACCTGCCCAAATCAATCCGAGCAGCTGAGTCCTTAGCCATCTTCAAGAAACGACTAAAAACACATCTGTTCCACCTTTATTTGACCCTCTAACTCTAACACTTTCTATTCTATTATAATTCTACTTTATCTATATTTATCTTTTATTTTTTTATTCTTTATTTAAAAAAACAACAACAAAAAACAAAAACTAGCTTTCTACTTGTTTTTCTTTGTTTGTGTGTGTGTGTATAATACATATATGTGTATATATATATATACACCTTGCTACGTGTACTGCATTAGGCTAACCGAGACTTGTCATTTGCACTTATATATTGTTGCTCTTTTGTTAGTATTGACTGCTTTGATTGTCCTCATTTGTAAGTCGCTTTGGATAAAAGCGTCTGCTAAATGACTAAATGTAAATGTGATATTTTTTCCATTGTTGCAGTGTTGGTTCTAGGCAACAAACCTAAAAAAAAAGAGGAAACCTTTTATTGATAAGGTGCACTTCATGCATGAAGCATTGTATAGGTTTTGGCAGTAATGTAAATACCCTGATGACTCTGAGACTGCTGGGTTACATTCTGGTTGTAAGATGATCCCTCCTCTTCCAGAGCTGACGGTGTAAGCGAGTGCTCGAGACAGGAAGGACTGCTGAGCACTGAATGCTAACAAGGGGGAGAGAGAGTAGTACATGTCCACGGCGAGCGGAAAGGTGGGGGGTTCAACAGCGAGATATGGAGAAATACAATTAACCTGCAATGTGCCAACGCCAAATTCACGCCGATCACAACCATCCTCACCACCGATCATCATCCTCATCCTCACCGCCACCAACAGCGCGACCGTCCTCGTCTTTTTTCTCCTAACTGAAATGTATCGGGACTGCATGAGATCTTTTTTCTGACAATGGAGATTGAGAATATCGTGGCCAACACCGTGCTGCTGAAGGCGAGGGAAGGTAAGAGACGCGCAATGGCGCAATCAGTTATCGCTGAACGCGGTTTAATGAATCCCGTATTAACTTGATCATGGACGAGGCTGAATTCAGCGTCTTGTTGGATCTGAGAATATTCGCTACGTCTGTATACAGTCTTGAATGAGCCTCTTCAAGAGTCCTCTCTGTTGAATAGCATCTCATTAAGTATGCTAGTACGCACTTACTATGCTCAGTCTCCTCTGTCAGACCCCTAATGGAGGTTACTATGTATTTTCCCCTGGATTCATAACGCAGAGACCGCAGTGTACACCCATCCCCGTCACTTCACCTGGGAGGGAGGTTGAACTGCAGTTGTAGGCCGCAAGGTTGCCCCTCTATCTGCGCACAAAGAAGTACACTGTGATATGAGTGAGGTCGGTGTGCTCCTTACTGGACCACAGTCTTATCTGTGATAAACTGGGTATTATTGGACCACTCGATTCTGGTTGGTCAAGCGCGGGATTGAGCGGTCAAATATCTGTTTGTTTGTTTGTTTATTTATTTATTTATTATCACTGCCAAACATGTTATTTCATCGTTGCCCATGGCAACGTATCGGCGCTGCTTTTGTGTCTCGCGTATGACTCCGTCTTCTGCTCTTCTTGTCAACAAGTTTGGCGAATCAAAACGTTTGGTACGAACGCTTGCTATAATAAATGACAGTATGACAGATGACAGTATTCATTTTAAAGTCGGGCATGAAATGAAAATTTAAATATTGTTTAAATGCATTTTATAGATCTTATAGTAAACAATTAATCTGTGCATTTGTCTTTTTTTTTTTTTTTACCTCAATTTTTAAATAAAAACAGCAGACTTTCTGGTGAGGTATACACAGGGTTGCCAGGTCTGCATAACAAAACCAGCCCAATCGCTACTCAAAACTAGCCCAATCACGTGGGGGAAATTGGCTATAAAAATCGTGTTCCGTGTGGGAGGTCCTCCTCAGTCATAATTGCGTTTTGGTGGGAGGAGTGGTTCGCTTCAACCTAAGTATGTATAGCTGCAGCCCCGAGACCTCCAAGTGGGAGGGACTTATGCCGCAAGTAGGTTGGGAGACCTCCAAGCATAGGAGCGGGAAGTGGGGTGCCCTGTTTTTTTCTATGGTCAACTGTTTAACTGTTGGGGGGGGGGGGGAAAT